AAGACTGGAACTCTTTACTGGAGTAGAAAGCCCTATCTTTCTCCCAGAGTGGCCAGTGGTTGACCTTACAATTGACAGCCTAATGTGTAACCACTACACCACCGCAGGTTTGGCTACAGTGACTTTTATTAAGAATATATTTCAGAGCCATCTAGTCTCCAAGGATAAGACAAACGCATTTCAAAACAAAGTTAGTATTTAACTGTTTTCCCACGAACTGGGGAGGCTGAAGATCTTATCCACCCTTGTGAATGAAGTGGCAAGTTTGTTAACGCCAGTAGCACGAGTCAATGGAAAGGGTAATTCAGATGTACATCATCTAAATTGGTTCTCTTACCACCCTCCCAAATGACTAAAGCCTGGCTTTGATGTCTGAAAACTCCTTTCATTTCATCAGGCACAGGAATCCTGACATGGCTGTTAGCTCTCAACATATTACTTAAACATTTTCCAGTAAATTTGCTAAGTGGTATTATTAAAGCAAAGCTGAAGGTCTCCAATTTGACTTTATATGAGTTCACAATGCCAGGGAGTTCCCTAACGTGTTGATAGGAACAAGACCTAAAAAGGAACATGTCACCCCTGTCAGCTCCTCTGTAGGATTTACTGATTGATTCTGCAACCCGAACCTCAGGATTATATCCAAGCGCTCATTAACTTCATAAACTGAGAAGGCAGACGCTGCCAGTTTAAATGCTTCCCACCTTGAAGACCCCGCTGTGCCTTGCTATTTGCTAGCCCAAGAAATAGGTCCTACACAGGCAGCAACTTTGGTTTCAATCACCACTGTCTGTTGTCTCTGGAAAACATTTAAATGTCAATGAACTTAGGATGCTTTGAGTATCAGTCAAAAGCATAACACCATTGGAAATACCTCACAAAATCTACAATGAACAGATGATTCAAAAGGGCATGTGGAAAACACAGCTTTTAATTGTGAAAAACACCTCATCTTATGACAGCACCAGGATTGGCGATCCCTGAAGAAGGACTGTGTTAACCGATGGACCCTAGGCCACGATGAGAAGACGAAATCAGGATCTGTGATAGCAGATGGGCTTACCAGACTTCGAGTCGGGAAGCATTACATGACGGACTTCCGAAGGTCCCTTCTAGCCCTACATTGCGGCAGACAGAACATAAATACCAGCTCTGTCGGTGGTGGTGGTGCGTCACTGGTACTCCGTGGGACTCTGACTGTATGACTGCTATTGTGTGCTGCCTAAAGCTTACCAACTCATCTCTCCAGCCACGTGGACCTCAAGATGTATACTTCTGATGTTGTCGTGCTCTGTATTGAATGGACCCGCTGACACAATAGAGAGAGTCTCTCACACTCCGGAGTAATAATCTTAGTTTTCCTTGGCGCTGGATCATGTAAGGTTAAATGTATGGCTATTCTATGCACTTCAGAGGACAGCACTGGGGCTGTAGCTTGAGAGAGGGGCACGTCGGATGAGAGCACACGGGAGAAATGACAAGGGATGGAGAGGGAGTGGAGGATGGAGAGGGCGGAGAGGACATCCTGGCCCCCCAAACCTGAAGACGATGCTCCTGCTCAGAGCAGACAATGCACAGTGAGGACCGTAGGGCCGGCCCCACCACGGGACAC